TCGGAAATGGTGCAGAAAAATTGCTGTGACTTGGAGAGCGTATTTGAAATTCGCATGTGTGACAGCAGAGTGTCGCAACGGAGATAGCCGGAGCCCGTTTTCAAACTGGGCAGCACTTGGCCTCAGGCGCAAAGCGAGCAATGCAAAGGGGGAGGGGGTAGGGGTGGCGCAGGACCAGCGCAATGTTTTTGCCCGCAACAACAGCCAAAGACAAATAATGCAATTTCCTGACTAACTCATTTGGGGGCACTGGCGCAGTTACCATGGCTGTTGCGCTTTTGCAGCAGTTTCGTGTCACTGACACTTCAACTCCACACACACGCACACATATGCGTGTATATGCGCGTGTGTGTCCAAGCATGTGCTGTGAACTGTATCGTAGTCGGGCATTTATTACCTAGGCAATAGAGTCGCATGTAGAGAACGTTTAGCCCTCGGTTGGATTCATCTTGTCTCCGTTGTGTAACTAAATGCGTACTTATCCGTGAGACTCGGAGGAGGCAACTGTTCAGAGTCATGCTACAGTTATGTGTATAACGGCTAACAACAAATTGCTTACCCCTAGCAAATTGTGCTGACGTTCTACATTCTATTTCAGCATAAATACATATGCAAATATATGTGAGGGAGTACTTCGGTCGCTTTCTCCGCCCGCAGCTGAAAGCTAAATTCATTGAAATGGATATTATATAACTCAGGATATATTGATGCTGTATATATATGTATATTCTCTATTGATGAGTTAAATATTCCTTTCAAATAACTCGTGTCTAGGCTGAAGATATCAGACCATAGAGCTCTCATCTTAATTCCTGCTGTAATAACTGAAATATATCAAGGCGCGCACTGCATAAAACCCATATAAGCCTTGCCCTCCCTATATGCTGTTCTCACTGTAGGCGCATACAAATGTAATTGAACAGATGTTATTATCAGTAATAAAGCATAGGAGTAGTCAGCTGATAAACAAGCCCATAAGAAAGAAAACAAAATGAAAAGAAAGTGCAAAAGAGCAGCAGCTGCACATTAGATAAGATAGGCACGTTTTTTGTTCTTTTTTCAGAATCAATAACAAACATTACTCACCTTGCTGGCATTTCCACAAAATATTATTTTCGACTTCACACAGAAACAATCTAAATAAATCTAACAAAACTAATGCGCTTCAATGTTCAAGTTAAAACTCATTTTGAAAGTTGACACAAAACACACACACACACATACACCCAACGGACACCAATACAAATACAACAGCAATTGTATTTTATTTCAGACATACATATGTTTGCTGACCGAGACAGGTTGACCGCTTCCCTTAGTTCTCTGCTCTGCAATTTGCCATTTCGTGTTGTTTTGTTGAGGTTCAAATGTGCGGTGACAATTGTTTTTTTCTCTTTTTTTTTTTTTTTTCTGCTAGCTCACATGGCATTCACACACTCACACACACAGATACGAGTACATATGCCGCAAATGTGTTTGCGCTTCAGTTTGCAATTTTTCTTGCAAAAAGCTTTCATTTTAACCTCCTGCATTGTGGTCTGGTGTCCATGTAATTTAGCTCTTGCCCGGAAATTTCATTTTCTATTGTTTTTCTTGTTTGGTCAGTTAGCTGCTGCCGTTATCGAGCTACGTTAATTGATCCGCTGTATCTTATCAGTAGTATGGTTAATTATTTTGTAATCAACTTAAAATTAATAATCTCCATTCAAGTTAGTAATATTTAATCACGATAAGGTCGCTTTCAAGAAAAAATAGAATGGCTATACAATTAAAAATGCTCGGCGAACAGCATGGATCGCCGTCCGATAACCTTTTATTGGGCGGGGCAGCCGCGCACCGAACGATATGTCTGCCAATCGAAGCAGCCCAGGTAACCATCCTGCTTAATGAACACCTGGTCCTCCGGGCATGTCAGCTCCACGGGCGCGGCACCTTCTTCGCGGCAGAGCCAGAAATTGGTTAGAACTTCGCTGACCTGCGGTTGCAGCAAATTGTTTCCCGTGCAGGGGCCGACAGTCACATCCAGGTTGACACAGGCGGGATTCATTAGCTTTGCGGGCAAGCAGCCAGAATCCGTGGCATTCTTCACAAAGTAATAGCCCTCTTCGCATTCCGATAATATCGGCACATTGTCAAAGCAGAAGTAGAATTTGCGTATATCTTCATCGCCCCACATCTCGTCCTCAAATAGGCAGGTGGCCGGCACAGTCGTTGTGGAGACCTCGTCCAGGTACAAGCTGGCAGCGCAGCTGAGCGCCAAGAGGCCAAGGAATATTGATATAACTGTGAAGAGTTTATTATTGTCAAAATATTAGTTTGTAACTGGCATATGTAGAAGTTGACTAAGTTAAGAACTTAGCTTAAAACAAACAGATTTTTTAACATAAGAATAAGAACTGTATTAATGGAGTTGGGATAGATTTGTATCTGAGGTCTCGATAATTCGATATGGCAAGGCGACCAGTTTTTTTTTTTTTTTTTTTTTTTTTTTATACAGAAATTCGAGTTATAGGAATTATCGAGAACGATTTTTTTTTCAAGGGGATTGAATTTTTTTTTGTTTATTGCGTATTTCGATTTAGCTGGGTACAAATTATGTAGACGCAACTGTATTTACATATCTTAACTACAAATATATAAAATTCTTTGGTTATTTGCTAACAGCGAAGTTTCCGTTGAGTGATTCTTTTTTTTTTTTTTTTTTTTTTTTTTTTTGAATAATCTGATTTGTTTACATAAAAATAAGAGTTGTATCATGAACGAGGTTTTTATTTATTGTTATAAAGTTGCTTTTAAAATTTACATATTTTAACTATAAATCAATATAAGTGCTTTGGATATTTGCTAATCGACAAGTTTCAGGCGATTCTTTTTTTTTTTATATTTATTTATAAATTGTTTTTGTCATTATAAATAACGTAACTTGTGTTATCTTCACATATGAGTAAAGTCAATTAATATACATTTATATATATTATATTTAATTTTCAGTAAACTTTCATTAGGAATATGTTTTTAATTTGATTTCCCACAGTTCAATTTTTGATGCATTTGTATTCCTTCAGTTCTTAGCACTTTCGGTAACTTAAACTTTTTCTTTTTGTTAACTTCACCTTTGAGCATGTTGAGTATTGCACACTGAAAAATAGACTAAGTTTACTTGACGCTCTTGCTAGGAAATTTATAATTTCTGAAGAAACCAAAAAACAACCGAAAATGAATAAAGTAATCACGCGACTTATCTCGCACCTCAATTGATAGCAGCTCGTCAATGTCTTGTTGACAATGGTCGATTGATGCCGCACATTGCTAATACGCACCGTGGCCCGCTTATCGGAGGCACAACGAAGCAGATAGCTGTCAGTCATTTTTCAATTTTTGGTTCCGCTGAAATTATGATTATTTCACAGTTATCATTTGAAGTGCCTTGGCAAATTCCTAAATAAGAATCCGTTTGCTGCGTATTTATTGGAAAATTGTATTTCGTCAGCTGCTGCGCATGTGCTGTGGGTAAAGTTTTAATAGAATTTGAGGCCACATGGCCTATTGGAATTTATGTCGATTATGTTGTCAACTTTTGCTGCCAGAAGTTTCCCTATTTAAACTTGGTGCGCGTAAAATAGACTGCGAAAAGTGGCTGCCACAGAGCCACAGAGCCACTGAGCCGAGCCGAGCTGAGTCGAGTCGAGTCGAGTCGCGTGGAGGCTGAACTGAACTGAGCTGAACTCAACTGAGCTGAACTGAGCTGAGGCGAGCCGGCTGCCACTTCAGGAACAACGACGAGGCCGGAACGCCCGGAAAGAAGTTCAATTGACAACGTGACTCAACAACAAAGAAAACTCAGCGAAAGCAAATGGAGAACTTTTTCTTGCAGGTAATACGGCCTAGGCCGAAGACCGCATCTGGGCCCGATTGCTGGCTCGCCGCTGTGTAGAATTTAGCTGTAAGCGAAATCAATTAGAACTTTTGACAGCAGCTGCACCTGCAGAGGGCCTGCCTGCACGACGAGGCATTTCGTGTGCTTGTCATGTTGCTCTGGAGTTTGTAATTAAATTTTGTCTGATTGCCCTGCAGCAGTAATTTCCAATTTGGCTTCATTTGAAAGGCAATTAATGTTATACTATCGCATTGATAAGGCCCTTGTCACCTTTGTGTTTTTGTTTTTGCCTTTAGTTTGTATTTTTCTCTTTTTTTTTTTTTTTTTTCTTTAAATATTTAGTTCTGTTTTACTCTGCTTTCGGTAGTCGAATTTTACGTTGATTTCATTTTAGTAACTGTGAATCACGCCGTAAATTAAACATGAATTCATATTGACGCACATTGATTGGAATTTCGACTCCAAAAGACACTTATAGGAGCTACTAAATCAATTCAAGACCCCGGGCAATATGTCATTGAGTAGAATAAGCGAATCACTGTCAGTTTAGTTTTTATTTATATATTTGTATTTATATGCAAAAGCGATTATTTTCTGGCACTTCAACTCATTCCAAGAAATAAGTTAATAGCAGTAGACACAGATAAATAAGATAAGAATAATGGAGAGATAGCGTGCGCAAGAAATATTTCGGTGAGAGTATAGTTAAATTTAAAGTTTACTATTTTACGATCTCTTTTGGGTTTCAATATAGTTAGCTATAATTAGAAAATGGTAACTTTACTTACTTTAACCATCAGAAAAGGATGCATCAATTATGACACGACAATGGCTATAATATTTTGATCTGTAACAAGTACACATAAGAAAACCCATAATTAAATAACAACCTAGGACTATTTCCATTTGAAAATAATTTGAATTTTTTAATGAACTCTTTCGATAGAGCATTCAACCTACGAACTTTGAACTCTGTCTTACAGTCTAATCAGTCAATTTGGAACACAAACTGAAATATTGGGAGCGACTCAAACGAACGTCAGAGCTTCAGTCTTGACAATGTGACAATGGGAATATCAGAAGATAAAAGCAAGAGCAATGAAAATACTGCCATGAGTATAAAAATAAATGGCAATGGTTCCATATCAATCAGTCAATGTTTTTGTGCCGCACTGGAAAAACGTGCTCGTAAAGGATAGCAGCAGATCGATCACATATTCACATATTGCATTGCATTGATGAACCAAATACCACTGCTTATAGAGACGTAAAATAATAACAAAATAACTGTAATACCAGCGCATACAAAGGGAATTCGTGACAGTGTTGTGACCATAAAAAGTTGCCGATGAAATTATTTATGAGGAATGTATTGAATACCGAGAAACGAGTGAGGCTGCATCACAGATATGCCATGCCGATGATGATGACGATGATTATGATGGCGATGTTGCGGGTTGCAGACGCATCCGCTGAGGCCACGAATGCAACATGCAAACATGCCACGAACATGTGGGGCGATCCGAATCCCAACATATTCTACGTATGCTCTGTGGCGGACCAAATGCCCCTGCAGCTGCATTGCCCGCAGGGTCGGGGTTTTTTCAATGGCCACGGCCATCTGGGCTGCCTGCCCTATGACCAGTGGCCAGCCTGTCGGCCCACAGTGGAGCCAGCGTCCAGCTGCAATGGCAACGGCAGCGCGGCGCACGCAAAGGACCAGCCATGGGCCACGCTGGATCCCAATCGATTCTACATGTGTCCGGGTGTTAATGCCGCGCCTCTGCTGCTCGACTGTACATCCGGCAAAGGATTCGTGCAAACGGCGAAAACACGGGGCTGTGCGGACTGGTCGCACTGGCGCCGAGAGATGCAGTGCGAGGCTTATTACTGAACAAAAGCTGTCCCGCATCCACATCTCCCCAAAAAAAAAAAAAAAAAAAAAAAAACGAGAAGTAAAATGCGATGGCTGCACATAAAACATGATATGTATCCCCATGCAAAATAATAACCAGCACAAAAAATATCAACCAAAATGTGTTTATGTGTTTCTATATATGTATATAAATTGTGCAATTTGATTTTGGTATTTACGTATGTCATATTGATATATTGATATATTTATATTATTGTACTTTGACTGTTCTAAAATAATACGAAAAGCTGAATCGAACTACGAGTGCTGCAAATCCAAATGGAAAAGTGATGCTAACTATAAATAATTTATAAACATTTTTAGTTTTCTTTGTATTTCGATGTTTGTGTACGATTTTTGCCTGTATTCAATAATTATAATTAGAATGTGTAAGTTTTTTGATAACATCAAATATTGGCTGACGAGCAAAAAAAAATGTTGGTACACCGATATTAAATCAGCTTATTAATTTTTTGTATTTACAACGAAAATAAATAAACAAGATATTTATGAGAAATAAATAGAAATTGCTAGAAAAAATATACAATTACTTAAATTTATATTTTGTGGATTTGAAAGAAAAAATGAGTTAATATGAGATTAAAATATGAAACTTTCTTTGATTTTTATTTTTATTTTTTTTTTAACTTAAATTTAAATTTGTATTTTTTTATATTGACATAATAGTAGTAGTAGTAATAATAATATATAACATATTTGTTGTGTATTTTTATATATATATGAGCGTAGTTAGTTATAGTAATTAGCATTTAAAATTTCTCTCAGTGCAGTGGCGTATCGAATTGTTTGAAAGGAAATTGCATAAGCGAGGCTAACCAGATGAGAATAAGCCACAAAGATAGTGTGTTTGATCCATACAGGAATCTTATACTGTTTGAGTGACGGCCAAGGGAGTTAATTCCGTACGCCTGGCAAGCATATTTTTTTCCATGGTTCGTGGTCAGATAGACAGGACTTCAGTTGTGAGCAGTTGCTGGAATTGATGTGCTTCGTCATCATTTTTATATTTATGCCTTTCTGCTTGTGGGTGTGTCCGTATACCTTTCATCTGCCTGCTATTCCCTTTGACTGCTATGAGGCTGGACCGTAAAACATGGGTGCATGCACCTGCTGCCTGATGGTATAAAAAAGGAACAAGTGGAGCAGCGCGTTTAATCGGAAATTGCATTTTGCTTTGATCTCTCTCCTCACGTCAGGAAATTGCGACCAATGCGGGCGACAGGTGCGCAAGCCTCTGATCAGGCTTTAATCAATGCTCAATATGAATTTAAAATTTCATTTGCTTAACACTGATGATTGTTAATAATCAACATAACTTTCGAAAGTTCTATACTCACTCTATACTTATCAACGGGTTTCAAAACTAACAGATTTATGAACGGAATTAAAAAAAATTTATTTTCCGCATCATTGATATGCGTAATATTTCACATTTAGTGTAAATACCTGGAAATACTGAGGTACAATGAAAGGTAGCCGAGCAATTAATTAACTTAAAGCTGCACACAGATAGCTAGTAGTGGGGAGCAGGTGAGCAGCTGGGTTCGGTGGAGATTTGCGTGCCCGAAATGTGGACAAAAATGCACTGCAAACTGCAATGGATGCAAATGAAAGCTGGGGCCAGAGCTGGCTAAAATATGCGTGAAATGCAAACAAGCTGACGGAGCTAGTTGGTGGTGGTGTATCTATGTGTGTGTGTGTGTGTCTGTGTATGTGCGTGTTGGGATGTATACTGTACTATATGTGCTGTGGCATAAACCCATTTACAGGTGTTTGCCCAGAGTCAACAGGAGTCAACGCCGATGCAGGCGCAGCCAGTCGTAAAACATTTGTCACATTTACATTAAGAGCAACGCAACGCAGCGCAGCAAGGGGCTGCCGCTGCCCCACAGCATGGACTAGCATTGCAAATGCAGGTTGTTGCTGCTCTGGTGGATTGCGGCCACAGTAGTGCATATTCCTGCTGCCGGCTGTCGGCTGACGGCTGCCGGCGACCGGTTGCTATATTCATGCATCGATTCATCCCTCTCCACCCCCGCCTATTGCATGGCTATGCAATTTATTTGCGCACTGCACTTGCCAATTAATTCTTATCTCAGCAGCCATGCGGGTCGTTTTCTCGGCGACTGCATAAATCAATGTGCTCGAGGTGATAGCTCATATACATACGATTGAGGCGCTCTTCTCCATTTGTTCAGCACACACAAATCGTGACCAAGCCGGAGAAACTATGTATGTATGTACATATGTGTGTAGCCAGCTCCTTTGCCTCTTGCAAGTGTAGACTGTCGAGTCGTGCAGCTCACTCAATTTCATGGTGTCAAATGTGCACGACTGCATACACACACCCCCATGCCACACACACACACACACACACACACAGACACACACACATGCATGTAGGCACCTATTAAAGTCTTTTTTCGGCACCAGCATATTGCATTTGCTGCATTGCATCCTTTTTGGGAGCCTAGCGGCGTCTAATTGAGTTGCATTGCTCTAATGACTGGCAGCAGGGCGGATGAGTCCGCCTGGTAGTGCATGGAGCTCTAATTGAAAAGTGTTGTTCGCTAAAGCGCCAAAAGCAGTCATTGATTCGGCTCAATGAAAATAAACAGATTATCGCCAAAGCGCAAGAAGCAATTTCGCATGCATAAGCGTTGCCAGACTGGTGCTAATTTACGCAGCCGTGTGAATGACACATTCCCATTTGAGTATTATTTATAAATGTGGATCTGATAGAGATGCACAAAGTTCAAGTTAATTAATTGGAGGCGTGTGGTGCACATTTCTAGGCTGCTAAATGCAGTTAATCAAATTTTCGATCACTTAACAATAATCCTGGTCACGCCTTGTCTGCGCCCAGCGCTAATTCATATAATTAAAGGCGTCCAATTACCGCCGCGTATTTTTTGCTTTCATATTCTCTTCCGTTTAACTCTCAGGCAGCTGTCAGCAACAGCCGCACCTGAGGCCGGGGCCCGTTTCCGGGGTGTTGATTGTCAAGTGGAAGCATTGAGGTTAGGGTCTAGCACCGTTTGCCATACGCCGTACGCCGTTTGCCTTGGCACACGCAACGACATTGCTGATGCCGCTGGGAAATGTGCGCGCTCTGGTAATTAATTATGCCAGTTGAAATGACGGGGCAGAAAATGCTCGTATTTTGCATATACACGCATACATACACACACATATATATACATATATATATATATTTGTAACGGCAAAGGGCACCTATAGAAAAATGGCCGCGTTTTGCGGTGACTTGCTAGTCGGCGAACGGAAACGGAAATAAGTACAAACAGTTGGCGGCAGTGGCGCTGGCAGCGGTAAAAGAAAACTCACTCATTTGGAATTTGCCGAAATGATTTATTAGCAACGACCATTTCATTTTTCATAGCCAAGACGGCGGCCAAAATAAGAAATGCTCCTATAATTTGCTTGTTGACAAAAACGTAGCAATTCTACATGCAGCTAAATGCGTATTTCCGGCCGGACGTCAGCAGCCATTGCGTGAGACAGCGCCAGCACATCCGCCCGACTGTCGGCTTGTTATTTTATCTGCTTTGCTTTGCTCCTCTATTTTAGCCAGCTCTTCTCATTTTTTTTTTTTTTTTTTTGGCTAAAAGCTTTTGATGGCCCTGGCGTTAGCATTGTTAATCACTGCTGTCGTAAAGGATATTGCCATCCTTTGAGTTCAAGTATGAGATGTTGCTAAAGTTAGCCATTTAGCTTTTAGGAGCGAGCAGAGCCAGTCCCTGGGTGATTTTAAAAACCGCAAGGAAACAATAAATTTGCAACAATGTGAAACGGAAATGTTTGTTACGGAAATGGAGGAAGCGCAGCCAGCGACACCAGCGACTGCAGCTGCATCTGCCGGTGTTGCCCATGCGATTGTCGCACGGTGCAGCTCAAACGGGAAAAGCAATTTTCGCACACCGAAATTCGGCAATGCATTGAGCGGTGCGAAGTTACCCTAGAAACAGATATGAGAAGCTTTAAATGTATTTTTAATTTTTTAGAATTTTTTTTTATAATTATCTCTATTTTATAAATGTATTTTAAATAAATATATATACAAAATAATGATTAATAATTTTCACTGTTTTATAAATTTATTTTAAATTATTTAAGTTAATATTATTCTTAACCTAAACAACCCTTTCTTCTAACATATTAGGGTGCACGGAGAAAAACAAAAATATAAGTTGTAAAAAAATATTGCTAAGCGGGAACTTCAGTAATAGCTAGTAAATTTTATTACGGCCCTTTGGATGCTGGACACTGCATAGTTGCTCCTACAGCAGGCCAGTCACCGGCACATAAATTATGCATATTTAGCTGAGCGAAATTGAAAACTAATTAATTACACTTGCAGCCGGAAGCGCTGGCAGGGCAAAAGCCCGGACTCACCAGACTGGCCAGAGTCGCTAGGCGAAACAGCTAAAGAAAAATGTTGTTCAACTTTATAATTGCCAGCATCAAGTGTTTTCCAAATTGCTCTTGGCTCTAATTATGGTAGAGAAGTGGCTGAAACGTGAGACATTTTGAGCCGGCCAAAGGGTCGCCTATGTTTGCACTCGCACTCGCACTCGCACTCGCAATCATTCCAAGAGGATGGGACCTGAAACTCCAAGTAAAAGTTGAGACACTTGTTGGTTATTATTTGGGCCGAGCTACCACCGAGCTGCCTACAAACGAAATATATTACGGCCCACTTTGTGGCGTCGCTTAAGGTGGATCTGAAGGAAGTTCAGAGGCTGTTTAAACAGCCACGCAAAACGCCCCCCAGTTGTCTAACAAGGCAAGTTTAATTAATTCAAGCCAGCTGAAGGCCTACAAGTACACTTTAAGCTCCGCCGTTCAAAAGAGATTACGAATTTTATGGAATTAATAAGCTAGTTTAACAGTTCGGGCATCCGAGTGAAAGGATTAAAATAATAATTTGGCAAAAGGCGCACGGCGACTGCAACGAAGATACTTTCATGGCTGATTTAATGCAAAAACACTTTCATTTCATTATTAGATTATAACTTGTTACAAACTGCAATAATCATTAGAATAAATTTATCAGTATTTAAGCATAACATTTTT